AGGGAAGGGAAGGGAAGGGAAGGGAAGGGAAGGGAAGGGAAGGGAAGGGAAGGTTTGGCTGACAGCACCTGGAGCTGCTCTTTCCACAGGATGGCTCCAAGATTTTGTTTGCAGGCAGTGGCAGCAGGAGTCTATTCACTCCTTTTTATTGCAGGGCAGATTTGGGGCAGCTGAGCTGGCCAAGTGTCCCTTTCTGCTCAGGCCAAAGGGAGTGAATTCCCTGGAGTCATCCCTGGCCCAGCCCATTAAGGATTCTCTGGGAGTGTTGCTGCTGCCCAGGAGCAGCACTGGGATCAGAACACTTTTCATCTATACTGATCTTGTCTTTACAGTGCCCCTTTCACTGGGCAATGATCCCAAAAGATCTGCCCAGAATCTACCCCCCCCTTGGCCTTTTATATCCTCCTGAGGACTCCCAGTGCCTCACCCAGACTCAAATGTTGATGGGAAAGACCCACATCCATGGGCTTTGTGCCACAGCTGGTTCTGTGGGAGCAGCCCCGAGTCCCTGGAGAGCTCTCACTACAATAACACAATGTTTATTGTGTTTTCTAGCAAAATAACAACATCACATTTTAGCCTGGCTGCTGTGCTGCTGTTCTTCAGTGTGTTGTTATTCAGGCTTTTGAAAATTCAAGTCAACTTGAAAACAAAAACATTGTTTTAAACCACAGTGTTTTGTTTTGTAAAAAACAAACAAACAAAAAGACCAATTACTTGAAGGGTGTGAACTCCTCAGAATTTACTCTACACTTTTCATTTGAAACTATTTACTGTCTTTGCTTTCCACTGGATCAGAATTAAACTTAAATGTCAGTAAATAGAGCTACTCCTTTGAGAAGAGATGATACATTTCATTTGTAATATGTGTGTGACTGGTTAAATCTACTGAAAAGAGTTATAAAATTGCTGTCCCTAATTATCAGTGAAAAGTATTCACGCTTTTAGTCAAGACATCAAACTTAAATTTCTTGTCATTTATATGTTGCCAATCACCATTTTGACCTGCTTCCAAAATACCTTATGAAAAATACAGCTGTGTTTGCCCCCAGCACTGGCTGCATTTATGGTGGGATTTGCTGTTGTCTGTACACATGGACTGAGTTTCCATTAATTTTATTCCTGCCCACAAGTGCAGAGCTGAGCACACAGGACTCACGGCCCCTCGTACCCCATGAATGGAGCTGGATATCCTGACCAGGGAACCCTGTGGTGGTGGATCCTGATTTTTCATAGGGGTTACTAAGGAAACAAATGATCTGCTGTATTTTTATACTGCCCTGACCCAGTCCAGGCTGTAAGACTGCCATGATTTAACAGCAGTCCTGCTGTGAGTACATGACACCATCCCTGGGAGCAGATGGGGCTGGCACAGTGACATGGGAAGGGAAGAACCTAAAGAATTTTACTGGAGCAGATTTTAAGGTATAAAGGTTGGGATTAATATCCCCCAAAGTGCTTTATCAGTATTCCCAAGTGTGAGGATGAAGCAGGAAGGCACAAACAGTCTCTGCAAGAGACTCTCCTTGTGACAAACCCCCCCTGCCCGGCTGCCATATGTCCCTCAGAGCCCGTCCCAGCCTGGAACTGGCTCACGGGATCACCTGAGGTCCATCCAGCTCTGGGTTCAGTGCAAACTGCCTCTTCCAGCTCCAGTTTTTCCTTTCCCAGCCTGACTGAGCCCAGCATAACTCATTTGCACAGATATGTGCAATCCCTCTGGGACAGGAGCCCATTTGTAAGGCAATGTTATTCCTATGCCATGCTTTTAACTCCGAGGTTGTTATTGATAATGACTTCCTCTCACACAGGCTGAGCTTCACTGACAGCAAAGGGCTTCAAACAGAATTGATGGTGCCACTGTGTGACGAGGAAAGAGGCTTTGGACAAACCAGCAACATTCCATGCTCAGATTAGGAGGTTCTGGTCTCTAGTAAATGTTCAGGCTCCCAGATAAGCTGCCATTACAAATCTTTGCCTTTGACAGTCTTTTCCACCCACCCCTTCTTTTGCCAGTGCTCTGCTGGGGGAGAACATTTGCCTGGCAGTGCCAGATAAATTCCATTTCTGCAGAGCAAACTCCAGCCCTGGTGCAGGGTAACCTCTGTATCATCTCCCAACAGCTCTCTCTGGAAAAGTCCTAATCACCTCCTGACTAAAGCCAGATACTGGGACACTGAATTAGCTCTCTCTGTCTTTAAAAGCAAAAGTCTGGGATGCAGGAATTTGAGACTCCCCTTCCACAGGCTGTTAGGATCCTAACAAGGACAAATCTCAAGAAGAGAATAATATTCATAGTAAGCAAAGGCCAGAATTTGTGAGACAAGGTGCTGATACCTCCAAGTACTCGTACCAAGCTGAAAACCCTTGCTAGTGATTCAGAGAGAACCTCATCGAGATGGAAAAAAAAATCCAAGCACCACCTTGGGCTCACAGGGCCACCTCAAAACTAAAATACTCAAGCACCAAGGGGAAAAACAGCTTATAAAAGCTTTTTGCAGGTTCCTTTTTTCCCCTAGGATCAGTTCTAAGTGATTATGGGCAGCTCCATGACCAACTCCTTTGCCTGAATCCCAGACTTGTACAAGGAGTTTGAAACACTGCCCCAGGAGCTAAAGGACCCATCTGCCACTGCTGGTTACCTCAGACCACAACTTCCCACCTGACTCAGTCACAGGATGTTGTCCCAAGAGGTTCTCAGTGCAGGTGACATGGACAGTAAAATCTCACTGCCAAACTGCCCTCATTTTACCTCTTTCCTCCTCAAAACTGTGACTGATTGTTGATTCTACGTTTCCCCATCTTTAGACAGCACTTCCCTCCTCAGAGCTGCCTGACATTCCCCTTCCAGCCCCTGATTCCACTGAGGCACCCTGGGCTTGGAAGTCCTCCCTGAAGGATCTCAGGGTGTTTAAATACCCTCCCCATGCTGGAAGAGCAGCAGGAAGAGCTGCCAGCTCCTCCTCACCCCCGGAACAAAGGAATGGGCTGCAAGAGGTGAAATGACCTCATGGTGCCAGGACTTTTAGGGCCACCCTCCTCCCAATCCAGAGCTTGGGAGGTCCCTGTGGGAAGGAGCCTGGAGGCCTCTGTGGCCATCCATGCACTCATCCACCTTTCCACACTCTGGAAAGCTGAGGCCCAGCACTTTTCCAGATTTATTGTACATGGACACAGCCTTCTTTCATCACCTGCCACAAGCACCCCCCTAGGAGGAAACTGGGAATGGGCTGAGGAGATCTCCTGATCTGCCCATTACACAGCTCTGGTTAAGCTGTTAAACAGCTGCTGGGCTGCAAGAGGCACAACAGCAGTTTCTGTATTTTTCCTCTTTGAGCTCCTTTTGCAAATATGTGTCCTGCACCACGTGCAAGTCATTCAGCTCCAGCACGTGCTGGTTTATGGGACAGTAAGACTTGGACACTTCACAGCCTCCATTAAAAAGCAACACCACAGCAATACCTAAAATAGCACAGTTACAGCCAATTATTAATACAGAGGAGAAATGGGAAAAGATTTGTGCCATGAATTTTGATCACAGGAAACAGGACCACGAGAGACCTCAGGAATTCCTTTAATCCATTCCTTTTTCCCATGGATCAATTCTAAGTGATTATGAGCAGCTCCACAACTGATTCCTTTGCCTGAATCCCAGACTTACAAAAGGAGTGTGAAACACTGCAACAGGAGCTGGAGGACCCATCTTTCAGTGCTGGTTATCTCAGAGCACAACATCCCACCTGAGAAGGACAAAGGACCCTGTTCTCAGTCCAGGTGACACTGGCAGTAAAATCTTTCTGCCAAACTGCACCTCGTTTTACCCCTTCCCCCCTCAAAACTGTGACTGATTCTTGACAGACCCTTACCTGTTGCTTCCACCATTCCTTCCAGGATGACCACGATTTCAAACTCCTCCTTCTCCAGCTGGGTACGAGACATCTCCCAGAAGGGGCTTTTCTCATTGATTTCGTGTGAGATGATCAGAGGTGACACCAGGAACAACCTGTCATCTCCAGTGTCAAATCCCACGTTGATGTCCGTTTGGTTCAGGGGAATAAACTCTCCTTCTTTGGTCTGTTTGGACTTAATCAGTTTGGCTCTAATGGAAGCCTCGACAATGTGGGAATTGCGGAGGTCTCCAACCCGGAACATGAGACAGAGCTTCTCGTCCCTCATGGAGATCACGGCGTTGTTGGAAAACATGAGGGTTTCAGCCCTTTTCTTTGGTTGGCTGATCTTGACGAACATGCAGCCCACCATGAAGGCGTTGACGATGGAGCCCAGGATGGCCTGGATGAGGAGCAGCACGATGCCCTCGGGGCACTTCTCCGTGATCACCCTGTAGCCGTAACCGATCGTCGTCTCCGTCTCGATGGAGAACAGAAACGCGGACACAAACCCGCTGAGGTTTTCCACGCAGGGGATCCAGTTCTCATCTTCCAGGTGGTCCAGGTCTCCCCGGATGTAGGCGATGAGCCACCATATGAACCCAAAGAACAACCAGGTGATGGTGTAGACCATGGTGAAGACCAGGAGGTTGAAACGCCACTTGAGGTCCACGAGGGTGGTGAAGAGGTCGCTGAGGTAGCGGTAGGTCTCCTGCACGTTGCCGTGGTGGACGTTGCACTTGCCGCTCTTCTCCATGTACCGCTGCCGGGGCTTCTTCCCCTCGGCCGAGATGAGGCGCGTCCGGTCGGTGGCGATGGGGACATCGTCCCGAGCCTGCTTGGGAATCTTCTTGGGCTCCCTGGAGGTCACCCCGATGTCCATGTCCTGGTTCATGAAGATCCTGGAATCTCCAGCCATGGCTGGGCTGCAGGACAAAGAAATGCGGTCTAAGATGGAAGGAAAATTGCTGAGACAAACCCTCTTTTGTGTCACTGTCTGAACCATTAGACCTTGTTCTGGGAAACACTTTGAGAGGGTTCAGCTCTTCTCCCCCAACAGCCACTAGTTAAATATAATGCTGCTAAGTTAAATATAATAAATGTAAATAAATAATACAGCAAATATATAAATATAATAAATACACCAATAATTATATGATATAAAATAATTATCTATAATATGGATTGTAAATAATATATAGTTAATATATCTATAATATCTATAATATCTATACTATATATAGATAATCTATATAATTGTATTATATGTAATTAATGATACATAATTATATACAAATAATTATATAAATAATACAACATATGTATAAATATAATGAATATATAAAATATAAACAATGATATATAAATAATATGACAAATATATAAATATATAAATAATGATATAAATAATATAACAAATATGTAGATATAATAAATATATATAAGGACATAAATATATAAATAATGACCCTGAGATGAGCTCTGTGGGTTGAAGTTTGGTAGTAATAACACCAAGGTCAAGGGTTCAATCCCCTGGGTGTGTCATTCACTTAAGAGCTGGACTTCATGATCCTTGTGGATCCAACTCAGAAAATCGTGTGATATTCTGTGATATTCTGTGATTCTGTGAAATATAATAAATCTAAATCTAAATCAATACAATGCTGTGAAGTTAAATAGTGATTTATTATCCACAGGCTCTTCAAACATCAATGAGCTGCCAGTCAGTCCTGGAACCTCAGAGAATTTGGTGATGGGCAAGGTTAGGAGTCAGGAAATAGTTAAACCTTGTAACATTTTTTGGGGGTATTTTTTTGTCCTTAGATTTTTTTTGAACACCAAATTTGCTTGAGATCAGAACTAGGAACAAAGTCAAGATACATCAACACGTCTGTTCAAGAGGGACTGGAGTTTTTTGATGCCTCAGGTTTTGGGTGCATATCAAGAGAAACCTTAGGAATGAACAGAAAATGCTGAGCACCACTGTCTACCTAAACCTCACCACAAGGTTAAATTATGCATGAAGGTTTCCCTCAGAGTCAGCAGAGAGAGGCGTCTCCAGGGATAATTCAGATTTCTGAAGTTTATTCTGTGAGCTGGGGCTTCAAATGTGAACCAGACCTCGAATGGAATATCTGGAATTCCACATGGGCAGGTGTGATGGATCCAGGCCTGCTGTTAGTGGGATCTCAGAACTCACCCCTGACATTAGACAGAATCACCAGGCACTTATTAAAATCCCACTGCCCACATGCAGAGACACAAATAAATAACACAAAACGATGGCTGCAATGATTTTTGCAGGTTATAATGTAACATCCTGTTTACTAAGATGATTAGATACTCCTTTAAAAAATGAGAATCTTGACTCTGGATGCAGGGCACAGACAAAATCTCCATCAAAGACTCCCTAAGCAGCCTTAGGGATATCAAAGATAGAGCAGCAATATTTTCTATGGCATTCATTCTCTGCATTGTCCTCTGCAAATCCTATTAAAACCTAACTAAATCTATTACTGCTCCCTCTATCTTTAATCTTCTTATGCTCCTGTGAATGAGAAAAGGTGTAGAGCTACAATTAAGAGTATCTTGGGAAAGACAATTTTAAGACCGAGCAAAGCAGCTTCATCTTTTCGGTATTAAAAAGCACGAAGGGTGGGCGGGAAGGAAGCAGAGGCAGGATGAATAAATGAGGCAACAAATTTCCACTTCCATTCTGCTGCAGCCAAGTCTGGTTAACAGCAAGGAGTTACTCTGAGCCCTTGGATAAGTCACCATCGATCGTGACTCCAAGGAAGCAGCCGGTTGCTGGAACCATCCCCGCTGGCCCTGCTCGCAGGAGCCCAACCATCTGTCCCAGCCCAGCCCCAGAGCTGCTGCACGCTGGCACATTTGCCTGCTCAGAAGGTTTTGGGCCAGGGCTGAGCCAGTGCAGCCACAGGAAAGGGGAAATAATAGGGGATCAATAGTGCTGGGATGATCAGTTAGGAGGGATCAGCTTTGCCACCCCACTGCAGTGATCCTGGATAACCCCAGTGCCGGGTGTTCCCTTTCTCCAACAGCAACACCGAGGATTTGGACAGAGTATTCACCCCCACCTCTGTTTCCATCCCTCCTAGAGGCAGGACTCCTGAGAGCTGGCTCATGGGGGATTTAGACACATCTTTTTTCACTACCTGTTGCAATGGGAATCTCCCGACCCCTCTGCACAGTGGTGTTTGTCCCCACACACGTGTAAAGTGCCTACCAGAGGCTGTCAAACAGTAACTATCTGTCAAATAATTAGTATCAATAATGACATTGACTCTCACTTCACATGGCAGAACAATCACACACTTTTTTACCCCCTCTTTAATAGGAAAAGAAGCCTCCCATCCTCTGCCTGAAAGGGAATCAGGTAGTGAAGAACCTCTTTGCTTTCCTCTTGTGAAGATCCCTCTTGATATATGTTTGCATTGATTGATTAATCTAAAATTACTCCTTTTGGATAAAAAGTTTTTAATCAATCTAAATGTAAAACCAGGCAAGTGTAGCATGTTTTCAATTTTAAAAGGACTGCTTTAAAGATAATTTTATTATAAAAGTTATGTTTGAAGCTGAGTTTCACTGACACTAAGCCAGAAAAAGCAGTTTCAAGACATTAATCTAGTGTAAGGTTTCATCTTCTAGGTTCATACCAAAGAGACCAAAAGGATCTGAAAACATATTAAAAAGAACAGAATAAAAGCAGTCTAAAAGCCTAAATCCCTGGAAATATCACTCTGGTGGAGCAGGCAAGAGGAACTGCCCCTTAATGAACATATAGAGAAACCTGCTTTGACTAAACAGTCCAAGGACTGGCAACATCCCTTTTGTAGTGCTACTGATCTCCAGCAACAGGGCAACTGAAATCTTTCTGCAAACCTTCAGGAACACCTTACAAGTGATCCATTAAAGCAGGAACATTCCTGCTGGGTAAGAACTTTGCTGGTGGCTTCAGTGGCAACACAATTCCTGCTGATGTTGAATCTTAAACTCTCCCATCGTACGAGAAGTGTAACCTCAGTATGTGGTTGCTGGAAATAATTGAGCAGCTGAATTTTTGCTTTAGATTCTTTAAAAAGAATGATCTTGGTCAGCAGTTTGAGCACAGCTTTGGGTGGCTGCACACCAGCCAGCTCTCTGCTTCAAATGATTTTCTCCAAAAGTATTTTCTCTCTAATTCTGAGCAAATCACTGCTTTCCCCTCTACTTTAATTCCCCAATGGTAAAATTTGTGATATGGGCATGAACAGTCTGTGAGATCCCAGGCACAAGGAAATTTACTGTCACTCCCTTATTATTATTTTAACTGCCCTGGAAACTTTAGCACACAGGACAAGATGCTCAAAAAGGAGCACTGTAAGGACTTGGTTAACTCCTTCCCCGTGTAATAAACTACCTCTGCTGCCAAGCATAAGCATCTTTCCCACAAAACAGGAAATATGTGCCAGCATCTCCCAAAGGCTCAGCCTGCAGTCTATAAATCCCTGCCCCTCCAGCACAGAGATCCGGGAGGCCAAACTGTCTCTTCCAGTCACACCCCCCGTCCCGTTCCTCTGGCATTTCCCATCTTTGGTTAAACGAGGCCAGGATAATAAAAATGTCACTTTTTAAAAAGCTGCCTTCCTTGAGGACAGGCTGCTGCCCAAGGAGCTGTGAGTCAGTGCATTATCACCCTGGCAGAGAGGATCTTTATCAGCCTGGCTGTTGTTGAGCCGCTGCCCAGATGACAGAGCGGGGCCGGCGGTGACATTTAGGGCTCTCAGATCTGCTGAGGAGAGTCAGGCTGGGCTTAGGGGAGAACCTCTGGCAGAGCTGCTCCAAGCCCTGTCTGGCAGAGGTGAGGTCCCTCCTGACAGCTCCAGCAATTTGCTGAAGACATCACAGAAGGTAAAACATGAAAAGTCTGCAAGAAACTTTTTTCCCTGCTGACCAGGCGACTTTTTTTCCCTTTAACCATCTCTGATCTCGCTGAAGTGAACACCAACTTAACTGGAGATAGGATTTGCTGCTGGAGAGGACTAAACTGGAGTCAGGAGGAGTTTAAAGACAAGAATTTGTCATCAAATTTGTGTAAAAACAGACTTCTTTTGTTTCTTTTAAACCTGATGCCTGTGTTTTCTCTCATTATGAGAATAATTGAGTAACTGTTCTTTAGCAAACCTCCCACACCTTCCCAAAACAGAATTTTACTTAACTCTGTCATCTTTTTTTTTTTTCCAGACAATGAGCCCTGTACTACTCAACAAACAATCAATAATACTAAACAGATATTACTGGAAAATCTGACCTGGTGGTTTTGCTGCCCTTTGGCCCACACCATATCAAACAAAGACAAGGTTGCTGTGCCCAGGTTCCTCTGGGCCACATAATTCTTCTTTGGGTTACACTGCTGCAAGAGAATGAAATTCTTAATTGGCAGACACTGATAATATGGGAAAGTTGGCAGAAGAATAAAGCAAATGAAAGCAGCAGCACCCAAAGAGAATAAAAAAGTTTGCTGCTGAACATTGAGTGGTAGTGGAAAGATGAAGGAAGAAGAAGAAATCTTAGGAAAAAATGGCCTTTGACACCCTGAGGATAAATGACTGTTAGACAGGTACTGACTTAGGTGGGGCTTTGATTTCCCTGAGAAAGGCACCTTTCCCTCTATCCTTTTATTTACTTTTACTCTACTTTTATTTCCTGCCTGTGTATGGCTGAGACTGAACAGTCAACACCACCAACACCTTTTGACACATGCAAGAAGAAAGGCAGGTAAATTTTGTGTAAATCATGTAATCTTTTGGTTTTCTGACTTCACATTAACAGAGATTGTGGTGGTGCCTCTTTGGGAAGTGCCTGGAGATCCACAGGTGGAGGGGGGGCTGAGAACGAGTTTACTGTTCAAAACCAGGGCAAAAGCTTGAAAGAAACTGCACAGGAAGGGAGACCTGGGGCACTTCACTAACAAACGGGGTTCAAAAGCTTCCTCAGTCCAACATTTCCTGTTCATAACCTCACCCAGCACTGAGGGGGGATGATGCCCCTCATTTCCTCTGGGTTTTTGGTGTCTCAGCACTGCTTTCATCACACAAAGGAGTTCCTCTGGGGCTGGAGGAGACCCCCCCCAGTACACAGACTGGGTGACTGATGGTCCTCATGGAGCAGGAGGACTCTGTGCTTGTCCCAGAGCTGGGCTGCTGATGGCTCCTGTCTGCCCAGAGTCCATTTGGCTCAGAAACACCCAAACAGAAGGTGTTCTGTCTTTCCAAACAAATTCCCTCTGGCCAGGGAGCTACTATGACACAAAGAAAGAGTCCATGGGCATTTGTACTTTAATTTTACCTGCTAATTACCTCCCAATCCATCCTTCTCCCCAGCAATGCTGGATAGTCCCAGCTCTAATATCCCTGAGCCCTTTCATTGTCATTTGTGAGGTACCAGTGGGACCCTTCCAATCCCAGAGTATCCAAGTGTTTCCCAGCATTCAACACAGGTATCACAGGCTTTCAAATTCTATTTATGTATTTACCAAGAGCTGTGGAATAAGGAAATGCTCTATATCCCATATTTCAAGATGAGGAAGTCAGTCACAAAGATGCTTCTTCCAGACTCATATTAGGAGTCTGTGGCAGGGCAGGGAATTAAATTTAGCATTTCCAAAATCCTAAATGAGTTCCTGTAATCACTGCACAACTCTCTTCTCCTTTCCCCACTCCAGCAGCAGTGAATACAGTCCCTGCCTGCTTCAGGTGTGTCTAAAGATTGCTCTGCAGAGCCTATACAGCCTGATCTATCAGCATGAATAACTAGGAAGATTATTTCTAGTGCCAAGAAAGACTGTTTCTGTTCTCTCTACAGATTTCAAATAGATTTTTCCCTCACCTATAGACTGAAGCATAAAAAATCCCACAGATAACACAAGCTCACAGTTGCCTCAAATATAATAACTTCAGACCCATGCAGAAAAGACTGGAGAAACTAAACTGATGAGAAGATGCACTGGGGTAGGGTTTTTTACAGAAAAAAAAGAGATGAAAATTAGAAAATGCCTTTTGAGTTGTCATAATGATCCCAGTGTACAGACTTTAACAACTTGTTATAGCACAAAGACTGAAGAAAATGGAGTTTCTACAGGATAAAACTTATCTCCTATTGCTGTGCCACAACTGCATAGGGTGGATGGGAGGATAAAATCCAGGTAACTCTCAGTTAATTATCTTATACTTCACTGCATTAAAAAGTCCCTGTGCAAAGGATGCAATCACAATATTATGCTCCTAGGTGTTTTTCTTAAGTTAGAACAGATATTTTCTCTACCAACAAATAAAACCTGAAAATAAACCAGTTTGATCCTTCCACCTCCAAGGGGGTGACTCTGCCTGAGGCACTTTGCAGCCTCTGTGTCTCTGCCCTCTCACCCCAGTCTCTATTTTTAGGGGCACCTTATGGCATCACTGAAAATGTGACTGTTGTCTTTCACCCAACACTGAACAAAGAAAAAGAGACACCTTTGTCCTGATAAGACACTCCTGTCTCTGCTGTTGTTTGCACACAGCAAACATTGTGAATATTGGGGAAAGCAGAACCTCGATTTTAAGGAAAATTTTGCCCCAAGAGCACAAACATTCCTGTTCTCCATTGTTTAGGAATTCACCATTACAGCACCTGAGAATCACTCTGTAATTGGCAGCTGCCTTAAAAAATTACAATAAAATTGTTTGTACCACTTCACACTTGCCCAGTACCTTGCATCCAAAGAGTTCACAGATGGACTGACCAAACCCAGGCTCTTTTTGCCCCAAGGCCTTCAACCCACTGCAGACAAGGGTCACAGAGAGACAAACCAACCTCATACAAACTGCTGGGGCAGTGCCAGTGCTCACCCCACACGTCCAAGGGCCTCTCCTGACCTCAAACCCAACAGAAATGGGTGACTTATATAAAGAGTCTGGAGATTTGCCTCAGAACATGACTCCAAAACTCTGTTTGCCTTTTTTTGGCAAATAATTGGGCTGGAAATTTCCAGAGATGGAGAATATTCCCCCAGCACAAACACTCTCCCCACCTGCCACAGGAGATGCTGGTGGTTTGGACTGGTCAGAGCACAAGTGAGAGAAGCCAGTTTCGTTTCCCTCTCAGCTGCTCTGCTACAAACCCAAGGTCTACCTAAAAGAGGTAGGAGGAAGGAGCTGCGTGATGCCAGAATCCCCAAAATCAGATGGCAAGTTTTTTGGGACAGGGCCACTTTCTGCCAGTTCTTCATTGGCTCCTGAAACTCTCCAGTCAAAGCCAAGGGAGCTGTACAAAAGTGAGCATGGGGCTGCCACCCAGCATGTGCTGACACGAACTGGAGGGCTCCAGGCATCTTTGTGAGGGATGCAACAGGACATGGATAAAAAAATCGGTCATGTTTTACCTCCCAGAGCCATGAACCCCCCAGGGATTCCCAGTGCAATACATTCCCTGTCCCCTCCAAGGGCTGAACGTGCCCCTTCATCGGCTGAAGTCTGGGCTCCAGGGCTCTTTAAACTCTCAGCTCATGGGCAAGTATCCTAATTATGAAAGAATTTAATCTTTGACTCCAGATAAGGATTATGGAGTCACTCCATGCATTTCAGGGCTGCTGACTGATCAGTCTCCCGGTGCCCTTTGCATTCCAGTGATCTCCTCTCACCCAAACAGGTCGGATTTTTTAACGTGTATTCCTGCAGAATCCCTTTCTGAGATCTGACGGTGCTTTTGCCCAAGACCAGCATCCCATCCCTGGTTTCCCATAGAGTTCCCTGGCGCTGGGGAGTTGGACAGCGGCACAGCTCCAGCTCCCATCGCGGCGGGTTTGGGGAGTCTGGCGCTCGGCTGACCCAACATTTCACCTCAGTCCTCCTGCCTGCTGTGCTCCCGGTCCTTGGCAGCCAGCGGAGCGCAGGAGGGAGCTGGGATAACAAAGGAAATGCGGTGACTTACTCGCTACGAGCGGCTCCGCATCAGTGTCGCGCCCTCGGGGGCAGCCGGGCGGGAGCGGGGCGTGGGAAGCGCGGCTGGAGCAGCGGCCGGTCCATGCCATCACCGGCGAGCTGGGCTCGTCCTCGGGTCCCCGCGCTGCCTCCTGCCTCCTTCCCTGACAGGAGAGAACATTTACGTGGCACTGAGGATGAGGATGCCCACGCCCCTGTCCCCGGGTATCCCTGATTTCCCTGCTCTGCTCCAAACCCTCCGCTGATGCGGAGACACTTTTGCCTCTCCTCTGCCTGCCCGTCCCTGCTCCCGCCTCTCCCGTTCCAAGGGATTCTTGGCGGTATAAAGCTTTTTAAGGGCTGGGGCAGAGGGGAGGGAGGGGAGGCTGCGTGTGACGGCGCCTTATCTGTTGTGAATGAGCCGGAGCGGAGGTGGGGAGGGAGGGCGAGGGAGGGGTTTGGGCGCTGCCGAGCGCGGGGAGGGCTGGTGAGGAGGGGGAGAGGCGAATCCGAGCCCTGGAGCTCGGGATCACAGGAGCTTTGGGGCTGGGAAAGACCTCCGGCATCCTCGGGTCCGACCCGCGGGGGCTGCGCTCCCCTCGCACTCCCCCGAGCGCCGAGTTCCCTTCTCCTCCCGGGATCTCCTGTCCCGGATTTACTGGAGGGGATATCGGGTTTGAGGGGGTGGGGGCTGTGTTCTTGTGTTTTTAAAAGCACGCAAACAGAAAGCAGTTCCCAAAACCAGGAGGGAGCCGCACATTTCACAGAGACCGCGTGTGTCCATAGTCATCGGCACTGGGGGAACTCTCTCATCCAGGCTGGACCAAGGAATTTGGGAAAAGTGGGGACAAAGACGGCCAGTATGATTCCTCTGGCACGCTCCCCTTGCCTGTCAACCATCAAGCTCCTGCCGTGGTGTTTGCTGATGGAGTTGTGGTGTTTTCCTGGGATTCATCCAGGGAATGCTCTCAAAGTTCTTCAGTGCTTTGCTGTATTTTTTATCTTTTTTCTTTTTTCTCCTTTTTTTTTATCGTTGATAATACCACACTGTCTCCTCAGCTTAGTAAAATATTTTCTTTTCTGAAAAGCAAATGTCAGGCCAGCAGCAGATATGAGCCAGACCTGCCTGGTGACTGCAGGTTGCCTCCAGGCTTTGTTGTCCTGTTCCCCTGATCCTGTCCTCCTGTCCTCCCTAATTCTCTGCTCCGGGACCACATTCATTACAGCTCATCGGAAATGCTTTCACGAATTTATCTGGTCAAGAAAAGAGAACTTCTCAAAACCAAAGCACTGCAGGAATGTGTCAGTATAGCTGGAATGTTAAAGCTATTTTTCCCACGTTCTGCTTTGAATGATTTTCAGTTTACTTTTTTTTAAATTACACTATCACTAATGAAATACATCAGCAGTGGAATGGCATTTTTGTTTTACTGTGTGGACGTTTTGCAACCTATTATTTGCATTCCTTTTTTTTGAACAGGTTAAAAATGGAACTAGTGGAGCTTCCTGTAGGTCAGAAAACCTGTTTCTGATCAGGTTAATTCTAGGCTACATTAACACCTTATTATGGAAACTAGACCGGAGAAATGCACAGACAGAGAGGGAAATAGAGATTTGAATATTATGAATAATCATATTGCCTAGGGGCTGGGTTAAGAAGCCCATCTCCGTAAACACACACCTTTTATCAGAGTTCTTCTCTGATCTTTATGTGGAATCACAGAATCAGAAAATCATTAAGGTTGAAAATGACGTCCAAGTTCACGGAGCCCAACCACAGAGGTTGGATCTGGTCAGCTGGGACAAGAATCTGGAGCCAGACCAAGGACTTAGTCCATCAAAAATTGGGTTCGCAGATGTAATTTTGCTTTTCCACTTGTTGGTTTGTATTTCCCACTCCAGCACCGTGTGGGCAGTGAGATGAACCCAGCCAGCCTGGCTCCTGTTGTAGCATTAGCTGCAAACAGCTCCAAGGACTGAACCCAAATCAGCAGTGAAACCATTTGCAGTGAAAGCAAAAGGCCTGGTAATAAACTGCTGATTAAATCCTCTGAAATTATGTTACATCTTCTGCCTGCTCAGAGCTCTGAGGGATGCCTTTGCAGTAGTATTAGTTTTACCTTTTAGAAGTGTGTTCATGATAACGTTATAAAAGTGCAATTTGGGGAGTACATTAACAGTTTGGGTATTTTAACAAGCATTCAAACTTCCTTACAAAGTTCTAAGCAGTAATTCATCCAGTGTGAGAGTCAGTCCCCCCTAAAATCACAGTGTTGGCTTTCAGAGCAGGTCCCTGGATGCTGCTCCAGCAGCACTAAGGACAGTGCCACCTTCAGAACGGCCTCAGCTCGGCTTCCTCCTTCATTTCGTCTCATTTAATAAGATTTAGAATGAATTTAGGAAATGGAGAAGGACCTTTCGTGCTGTCCAGCCAGCAACCCTGGAGGAACAATCTCTGAAAGGCTGCAGAGCTGGTGTGTCATGGTCAAGGCAAGGAGAAGTCTTCCTTCCCACCTCCCCCCCACACTTATCCAACACATCCCGAGTCCACAGCCACGGACAGGGGGCCCAGGGGAGCAGAGTGGGCTCACGGTGTGGCCACTGCTGCGGGCAGTGTTCGCCCCACGGCTCCCGCGTGGGAACGGCTCCGTGCCTCATGCAGCGCCAATAACACCTTTTTTGGAGCACATTCCCTGTTTTCCTGAGGGTGGAACTCTGACAGGCACTGCCATCTGCTGGCACCGGCCCTCCCAACCAGCCCTGCAGACACCACGCGAGTGGGGTGCCGTGAGGGGTTAAAGCAGGGGCTGCATTTTCACAGCCCCCTCAGCCCCTGAGGCTACAGAAAGTTCCATTTCCCCAACTTCCCGCACGTTTCCTTCAGCTGGGAAACGAAACCTCTCCCCTAAGGACGTTTGTCCACGAGCAGGTGGATAATTCTGACCCTTCTCCACCTTCTGGGGTTACACAGAGCTGTGCCCACACCCCTGCCCAAGTGCCAGCTCAGCGATTTCGCCCTGACCCACAGATCCCACCCAGCACACACTGTGAGTGCGTTTTTGTGCTGTGGTTCCTCCCTGGCACAGGGGTTGGTGCCCCAGACACCTCTCAAAGCCACAAAAAACCAGGGCACTTGAGAGGTGCCTACTTCAATCAGCATTAGAGGCCTTTTAGGAGCCATTTATCTGCTCACCTGGGAGGCAGCACCTTCTCCCTGGCTCTGAGTCTCTGCAGCTTGGTACTTTGCTTCCTCATTCCTACACTGTAAATTAGTTTCATGTATTATTTCAACTGACATCTTCCAAATTGTACTGATTAAAGACAAGCCAGACCTAAAAACAGTTTTCCAGCTGGAAACCACCCTTCAGGCAGTCAGTGACATCACTGTGCCCTTGCTGAGCTGGGGAAAAAGTTGGCCATGGCCTCAAAAGTTTGAAATATCTTAAAGAGCTACAGGTATCTGCTACCTGCAGAGGGTGGACTTAACACCAAATGGCAGGACAGTTGGAGTGCCTTTGGACTCCTGTGGAAATGCAGAGGGATTGCTGTTCTGTTCAGGATGGGATTCAGCACAGGCAGTGCCATTTAGGATGCACTGGGCTGAGTCCAAACAGCCACACCATTTCCCTTCTAACTGATACAGAGACAGGTAGTATCAGAAGGCAGCTAAAATAGACCTTTATGTTAGAGTGGGATGAATTATCTGATTCCAGCAGCATGGAGACACAAATTTCACTTCAGTGCAACATCTTAATGTTCCTGGGGGTGCTCACAAGCCCTGACAGCAGTGCTGCTCTGCTCAAAGGACACACAGGGCTGTTTACAGGGGGAATTATGGCAACTGTGGAGTGCTCAGCTCCTGGATTCACAAACAGAACAACAAGATGCGGGTAGAACAAATTCTAATCTTATTTTGGTATAATTTCAAATTATATCTGGCTCAGAGAGTGATTTATATCACAATGTATATCAAAAGCTTTTATAAAATGAACAGTCTGAATTTCTGCAGGCTTCTGTAGTTTGAAACAGGGCAGCCCAATTTTTGAGCTGCCATGAACCAAATGGGGAATTGCCTCCATTTTCCTGGCATTTCATGGGACATAAACGAGCCCCCTCCCTGATGACCAGAGACTGGCCTGACACTCATTACCCGCAGGGGTAGTGTTAGGGTTCGTTAGTACCCAAATAACTCATTCCCCAAAGGGACAGTGACCCCTGAGAGCCCAGGGCCGGGGGTACCTGCTCTGCAGTCACTGCAGGCTCTGCTCGTGTTGAGAGTAGAGGGAGCAGCAGTGCCTTTAGGGATCGTTTTAATTTGTTGTGCAATTTGATCTCTGGAATGAGAGATGTCTCTTCCCGTTTGTCAACCATTAACCGACCATCCCACCAGAAGAAAACAGAGTTGTAAGAGGCAGTGCTGGAAACAGCGTCTAAGATTGTCTCCTCCACCTCCACCCTCCCCTGAGCCTTCAGCTGAGGCTCTGGGAGCCCTGATGTGACAGTCACCCACTCTGTCTCGTCTTCCTTTTGTGTTTTGGGGCTTATTCATCCCCTCGAATCCAAATGAACCTTGGGGAGTAGGCACAGAGGCAGACAAGGGGAAGGAGAAGTTTCCGCAATAAACTCCCCCGCTCGGTGTGTGGAGGAGTGAGCTCTGCCACGGCCTTTGATGTGATAATGAGGAGCTGATGCTCACCCAGGGAACGAGGCAGCTCCTCTCTCTCACAGCTCCACGGGGCTGGAGCCTGGCACCTGTTCCCCGAGCTAACACTCATCCCGATCCTTCCCACCTTTAAACTTCTGGATTGCCCGCGAGTGGGTTAGTCCAGTTCTTACTGAACTGCTGTTATAATTAACACTAATTAAGCTGCAGGTGCAGCAGCAGAACCTAAGGCTGAAGGGCACTCAGGGACTAAACTTCCCACTGAGGCCCATGGGAGCTGCAGGGCAGGAAAGCACAGGCCAGGGGCCCTGTGTGCGAAGTGGCACACGTGTGCCATCTCCTCTGGGAATGAACCACCACGCCAGCTTCCAGCTCTGTTCACTGCCTGGGAGCTCAGAAACAGCCAAATCTACCAGTCATAGCACACTCTAATGATGGCAAATTCATGGAGACAATTTCCTTGTTAGTCTGTCACAATTCAAAAGGGTTTCTGACAGACACAAAGGCTTTGGTTCTTTCAGGTGGGAATCTCATTTCACTGATTTCCCTCTCAAAAACAGGCAGCTCCCTTTGGAGCAGGATGGGATGGGTGCATATAGGATATAACCAGAAAGTACGGTCTAAAATCAGCCACTAATTAACCCCTTTGTTGAAAAAGGATCTCACCTTTTCCCACAAAGGCTTGTGGCTTTCCCAGGAGACAAGAGGTCGAGCCAGCAACTCCTTCGTTTAAC